ATAACGCAACTCAATAGCGATTATCCATCAGTAGCTCAAAGCAGTGCTTGAAGTGTGTCCTCTTCCACAATGGAAATTTTTTTGGTGCAATCGAAACAGGCCATTCAGTTTGTCTGGGTGTAGAATATAAAGGCAAAGAAAGTCATTGATTTATTGCTATATCACATTGGGTCTCTTAAACTAATTCATAAAATCTTTGACAATTGAAGGAGAGTTTCAAAAACCTCATTTCAGCATTTTTTAGTTTGGCATTTGGAAAGATAAAGGCCGGGGTGTTTGATAGTCCACAGATTCGGTAGCTCTTTAAGGATGAGCATTTCATAGGAATAGTGACAGAACTTCAAATGAATGCTTAGCTGGCAATCAAAAACATTGTAAAAGACGTTCTTTATTTATTTTTTTCACGTTTATTTAAAGTATGGAGCTCCATTAAAATTCGCTAAAGTCCATTAAAAGCTCCATTAATTCGCTGCCAGTCTAGCTAAAGTTTAGTTTCAGTTTATAATTGCATAAGTGATACTTAAACTTTGTAAAATATAATCTATTATACAAATGTAGTCCAGACAAATGGTAATCTTGATCTAAAATTACTGCGTTGAGTATATTTATTATTTGGTTTGGTTTGTGACTGTAAATTTCGATTCAAAGTGTAAAAACTTTCCTTTAGTTATATATTCATTATTTTATTGCTCCATCCCTACTATACATTCCAATTTCGACAAGTTAATGCAAATAAACCATACTTTTACAGTATATTCTTTATTTATGACTTCCTTTTTAAATACTTACTTTACAATACACATTAATTTGCAAGGCAAAATTTGTCATCATTATGCATTTACTGGAGATAGCTTATACTCAAGCTTTTGTGCCGCGTTTTAAACGTTTAAACCTTTAAAATGTTTTGGATGTCTGCATAAATGCTCACGTATTGTGACTTAAAGTCATATAAAGTCATATAGCCACAAAATGGCTTCTTTTAAAACCATTGCTTGATAAAATGTGCTTGAATCATTTAGCATATATTTTTTATATTAGAACGTGTCTTGGTAAGCTATAAATGCAGCTTATTTTGGATCTTTATCTTTTATCTTGGATCTTTGATCCATCTGCTAAAATTTCTGTTCCCTTTTCTTTAAGAATATTCATATGGCATATGATTGTTACGGATTTAGCTGGATGTTTGCTCAGTTTCTGAACTTCTATTTCCGTTGTAGAGCTTAATATATTTATTTCATATATAATGAGGTCCATCTATAACGAAACAAGAATATTCTCCCTCAGTCAGTAGTCGCGACATATTTCTTTGATAGGTTTTCATGCTGGATCGAACCCATACAAGAAAATGATGTTTCACTTGATTGGAAAGAATATTCCATAAAACAAAAAACTGAGTTAAGTTCAAACGCATTAAGTTCAACGGAAACCAGTGACACTCATATATCTTAAAACCTGTGTTTATTTCATGTTCGGCTATATAAAAACTCAGTCCAAAGATGCATCTTATTTACCTCAGAATGCAGGATTTGATATGATTATGGTTATTTATAACGTCTGACTTATTATTAGAAGTTAACTTCAGAGTTTACAACGTAATTTTATAGCATTGCTATCTCAAAAGTTTAGAAACATTACAGGTTAAAATAGGTGTTTTTTAATTAATTAAAGCTATTTTAATTATATTTTAACTTAATTAAAAATATAATTAAAGTAGTTGATTTAATTACATTTTGTAGATTTTAAATTTTAGCCTTACACACTTTTTCACGTAATTCGGCTCTTCCTGTTATTAGTTAAGACTTCCCTCGATGTTAGGAAATTTTGGATAATAATTTGCCTCATCAAAATGTTATAGAAATTAATTGTCTTAACATTTCAAATTTTCTTTAATTTTAAACCACTAATAAAGGACAATAATTCTAAAGCAATTATAAATAACATAACAAAATATTAAGCCATTTCGGCGAACACGGAAGTTAATAACAATGAACTCAAATTGTCAACATCTGTAACGTTTCGCAACATCAAGCTTGAAATGCTCACGATTATTGATGTCAAAGCAATTGCTATATTATGTTAGGCCGACTCTGAAGCGAGAATTACGTAAAGCAAGAAAGCTTTTCAGCGTAATGTTTCTAATACTATTAAGCGTTTTGTGTAATCTTTAATACTTTCACATAATACGATTTCAGTGTCAGCTGGAAGGACATATATCAGTGTAAATGAAATTATTACACCCATTTCAAGCTTATTTCAAAACATGCATTTTTCACAACTTTCATTTCAAAAACGCCAGAAGATAATAAAAGCAATCTAGTCCTTTCCTCTAAATAGAGTTTGAATGTAATGTATGAAGCCTGTTCTTTCTAATCTCCAAGTTGTCGTGTGAAAAGTCTTTCATTAATAATAAATTTAGCTGTGTTAAGAAATAGATTTATTCTCGGAAGAATATTATGGATCAAAACCAAAATAATCACTGCATACGAATTATCTGATAACGTAGTTGTCAAAAACATTCGGAATAGCAAAGAGTCATATTCGAGAATTAATCAGAGCTGAAAAGAGAAGACAGTATTACTTATTAAAATAAAATACCATAGTATATCTTCCATTATGTTGCTGCGTTTGTTTGGCACCATAGTTTTGACATTAAACAACTAGAGATTTTCATCACTGTATAATATACATAACTAGTAGAAAAGATAGTTTTACAAATTTGCAAAATAAAAACTTTTAGAATAATGTAAATGTATTCTTCAACCTTGTGAAAACTTTTCTCGTTCCCCGATATGTTCTCCGCTGATGTGGTAGAGGTTAGGACGTCCATTCAGCATTAGCAGATTCGTGATTTAAGTTTTGACGAATGCCCAATTGATTGTTTACCTTTTTCTCTCCGAAAATAAGTAAAACATTTTAGAGTGGCTCTCGAACTAAAATGTGATCGGTGTTTTAATTCCTTACCATCTATAAAGAAATAATTGCAGCTACGTGCATTTGTAGTGTTAAGTGGTTAGCGCATTCATCTAAAGTGGAAGACAGAAAGTTTATAGAGGTCTACAACGCTTTCTAAAGTGTGCTAAACGTCACATGAGCAGTTTAACGTCTATTCGCGACCATACTTATCCCATATAACTAAAACATTTGGTGAAATCTTATTTACGTTTTAATCCTAAAGGTATTTATAAGGAAAAAATTTCTTTCAGTATGAAACTATACTTTAAATGCAGTCCATCTGCACATAGTCTGATTGACGTGACTGTTACTGTAGAAAATATATTTAAAATTTTGGTATGAAATTTCTTTTCTTATTTGTCTTTTGTATGTTCCATACGGAAAAATTCTACTTGCATGAATATGTGTAATGAAAGTAAACCATTAAAGCAGAGAATATTCTTTAAGAATGCTAGAAAAGTTCCTTTAGATAAGAAGAGGTTACAGGAACAATTTTTGAGTCATCTGAATAACAACTCTACATATTATATTTGGAAGTCCGTAAACTGAAAATGAGATAATAAATATATTTAAACGCAGACTGTGCTATATGAAATCTAGAAATCATTTTCCAAGCCTACTTTAAGTAATGAAAACAAACTTCTATAAAATAAAAGAACTAAAAGCTCTCAGTTAAGTAAAATAATACTGAATTTGAAATCTGATTCTTATGTTGAATACTTTTGAGATAATGATATTTTACAAGAAAAAATATTTTCATTTCTAAAATGAACTATTCTTTTAAACTAAAAGATTAGAAATCGAAAGGTACTTAATTGATTCGAAGTTATTTTATTGAAGACTTCATGCGTTTATTTGTAAACTATAAGAACAGTTAAAGCTCTCATTTATTTTGAACTATAATAAACATTCATCATCCTGGAATATTATTTGTTCTTCCGACATTTCCATCTTTGGAAATGTTTAGCATATAATTTGGCGAAAGAGGATGCTTACGAAGCTCTGAGCCTCTTTCTCCTTGATCAACATTCCATTAGAAAAATTTTTGTCTTTTATCAAGAATACCGAAATCATTTCTGTTGGTACAGGAATACAAGGTTTTCACTGTTAGTATCTGAAAGATAGTTCTGACGCGTTTTTACGTTTGGCTTTGACAAGCAGACATAAAAAGTGAATTCTGTATTCTTCAGTGGATATTCTGAAGTATCTCATACCTGATGGTGATCATAAAGTGTATCCAACCTGCTCAAAATAAAAGATGATCAGATTTTCTTAAGCATATTCTCAGATGATGATAGGATTTCTTGATGTTGACCTTCTTTCGGACACTTTAGTTGTATAAGACTTTTAAAAGTGAATGCCATTATGAATTCAATATAGTCAACACTATATGGAACACTATTTCTGAAATTAAAAATACAATGATAGCAAATTGTTAAAAGTCAATATTGTTTCTATACGTGGGTGAAAATCCTGATGGTCATAATGGTGGAATTAAATACGAAAATTAAAAGATTCTCTATTTTATTAGACGTAATAAGGCAGACAGAAAGTAATATGAAGCAGTTATTATTATAAATGTTTCCTAAACGTTTGGAAGTTGACAACCAGTTTCTTCTATTATAATATAACCCCTTTTATCAGAACTAAACTCAACAGAGACATTTTGGATAAGTCATTTTTGGTTAAATCCTCGGAACTGTTCCATCAGGTACAGAAAACAATAATATGCATACAAACAATTGCACCGTTTGACAGCAAACTATACAGCAATTTATATCTCTTGGACACAAGTTTTCACAGTTTGTAATTTGTGCCTACTGCATTCATTGGTGTCGAAGATGCTGATATTATTTATTTTCATCATGAAACACTTATTCACCTCTAAAAGATGAAAAATATTGCTATACATTGTACCAAAATCACACAAGTGTATAAAACATTATACCTAGCTAATGTATAATCTTGTGGTATAATTTGGAAAGAATATAAAGCGTCTTTTTGTGAACTAGCCCACCTATAGAATAATAAATAGTATCTGTACTTACTATCTAAGTAGATTGATGGGCACAACTGTCTTCCATCTCTGTACTTCCATGAGAACAGCTTCTGTATAGGGCAAATGGATGTGGTCAGCCCAGTTGGGAGTTCTCTCGCGACCAATAACCTCATCAATTTCATCCTGGATTTTCTTTTGCACATCCTGATATTTGGCCATAGTCAGCAAAGTCCATTCAACAGTCGCCCTGACAGTAGTGCTACCTGCCCCAATGAGGGAAGGAGCATTGCCTTTTAGCATGGCACCTAAATATTCAAACATAAGATGAAATGGAGCTGTTTTCATCTAATTTTTATAGAAAAAAGAAATAGTAAAATGGAATATTACTTCACCAATGGATATACAGCATCGCAATCATTGTACACTACGCCACAGACTTAAACTGTAACGATTTTTAAAACATATTAGTTATAACCCACACTAGATCAATTATTAGGCAATGAATACTTTCCATTAAACCTTATGCTTTGGAATAATGACCAAGATTTTATCATTACAGTTTTCTATATAATATATTTCTTGACCTTTAAAACTTGTAAGCATATTTCATGGAAAGTGATCAAAGTAAAGAATTTTAGAAATCATAATATATTCTGCATTAAATAAAATTTATTTATTTTGTAAGGTTTATCTTAACTTTACAATAGTTATTTTTAATATTGAAGCCCTTTCCTTTAAATTCTTGCAAATCCTTACCAGAATGAGGTTTTAGCATCGCGTTGCATGTAAATGAGGTAGAAGGAGTATTTAAGGAAGGTTCAGCTTACTTCAGTAGGAGAGCTTAATAGTCATGAGTGGCGCGCGTTTGTCATCAGGTTACTTCGCTACTAAGCCAACCACGCTCGGCCGTACTGTACGTGCCTGTTGATAATCGCCGGCTAATTTAATTAAAGACCAACTACGTTAGGTAACTTGTCTAGCTTCGGCTAAGACAGTTTAGTTTAGTATTAGATTAGTTTCTTATTTTCTTATCTTATTTTTATTTCCAAGTGGAGGCTTTCCTGTAAACCCGAGAAGGGCCAAATGTTATTATTTCTTTGAGTGAATAAAAGGGTATTAGAACACTTCTCTGGACTTTGTCGTTACATACGTGAACTCAGCGAGGAGTCGCTGCACGGTTCCATAGGTTCCTTTACGTTCAGCATAGACTAAGTAGTTAGGAACATTATAATTTCACAATGTAAAATAAAATTTTTTCTACTCTTTGACTTCTTAACTGAAGAGGTAATCATTTGCTGCGGAAAAATTATATTCTGATGATAAATGCTTATTTCAAGTTGTATATTCAAAAACAGTATAGTAAATATCTGACGCTGAAAATTTAGTTTAAGCATTTACACTAAATATTACTGTTTTTATGTCGTTTATAATTATGGGTACTTTTCCGTTTCGACGGCGCAAATCTCGCCAAGCAGACTTTGTTGGCGATAACATACAATATACACATAAAAAATTTTAACAAATGTTAGTTCTAAGAATTTTTTATTTTGAAGGCATAAACATTTTAATATGGTTTAAAATTTTGTAAAAAGCCAATAAATAAAGATAATAAATTTGTAAAAAGAACCATGATAGCATAGTAAATTTAAGAATTTACTATGCTATCATGGTTCAACATCCTGATTCGCCGGTTCATATCACGTGACGCCAAGTGATCTCATCTCACGTAAACTACGCTACAAAAATATAATTCTCTCAGTAATTATCTACATTAATTTTAAGTTAAATCTTAATTTGGAACACAAGTTTAAATGCAAGAATTATTTCAATTCGTACGAATAGCTTACTCAGAAATTATGTAAAACCGCAGTCTTTACTTCGCTAGTGCATTCTCATTAGAATGGATGAATTTAAGCCTTGATTTGTTGCCTTTTCTATATTTTCGCCTTCGAGTGAGCGGTGTGATCGCATCTTAATTGACTTAATTACCGCGAATGGTCTTAGAGCATAATATTTAATTATCTTTGTAAATATTCTATGTAATTGTATGCTAGTATTGAAAGAAACAATCAATCTGGTAAGAAATGGCTGCGACTTGTTTTGAAAATGAAGCGTAAAAATTGAGGCGAAGATATTCCGTTTGGCATCAGTTGTACCATTATTGGCGACTTTAATCGTTTTCGCCGGTAAAACGGAAAAGTACCTAATTATGATAATTTAATATTATAAAATATCTCATATAATGCACTTTTTTGTCAAAATGCCGTAAGACTCGGTGATCTGACTTTAGTTATTTGAAGCACGAAGTCGCTATGAGTTGAACATGTGCTTATCATCAATGCAAAATAATTTATTAAACGTTCTCAGAATAACGGTAGACATCAACTAAGCACGCAGACGTTTATAAAGTAGGGTTTAGGTGTATAATTCATTCTGAATTTTTCTCGTTTTATTTCTAAACGCAACTATTCAAGACAAAATTTTTCTAACGTATATAATATTTCAGATTTTATGTTGTAACACATTTTTATTTGAACTAGTTCCTTTTATAGTGTATAGGAAACTGTCTTGCAACATTTAATTTCAAATATCTCTGATATAGGTAATATTTATCTAAAACAATATGCATATGCTTCTAAAATCTGAATGCCTTCTAAAGCTAATGCTTTAAGTATGTTCTAGTAAATAAATTATTTTATCGTTAATGCCATACTCTCTTATTGATGATAACAGAACTGTAGTTCATATCACTTCTCAAATACACAAGTAAGTTTAATAACTTGTATTAATATTTATTTGAAATTACTATTCATTACTCCTCAAAGAATACACGAGTATTAGTTATTGGACTTGGATAAGTTCATTGCCTTTACCATTAATTGAATTAACAGATATTTCTTCGGCGGTAGGAAAAAACATAAGTTGCATTGCCTTGACTGATATGTTAGATGTGCTTATTTCAAGAGTAAACAGTAATTAGTGGAAAACAAGAATTTTGATACAAGAAAGAGTTTCTGGCATTATTCAATATTAAATCAAACAGAGGAATATTTTCTAAATTTAAAATGATAGTTTCCTGTATAAAAGACCTTATTTTCTATTTGATCCTCTCCATTCTCCTTAATGAATGTTGTATAATATAAAATATCCATTTTGTTCTGCATTTGCTGCGGATAAAGGTTATCGATTCAGTTTGCTTTGGTTTAGTTTATTTGATTAGGCAAAGCACTCTAAGGCCGTTTGCCTAAGAGGAAGGATGCCTTCGTGGTGGACTTTCTAGGGGTAACTGGCTCATATAAACACTATCAGTTCAATAACAGGTGCATATTAAAAGTATTGAACTTACGAGTAAAGGATGTATTGGGTTCCCTGTATTTCCTTTGTTCCATCTGTAAAAGGAAGCCATCCATGTAGTCTCGGATGAAATTTGGATCCAAGCTTAATTGATGCTCGTCGATTTCTTTACTGGAAAATTGAGAAGTTATGCATAAATATAATGCTTTCTAAATTATTTTTTAATAAAATAATATTAGGGTATTTTTCTAGCGTAAATGTTTTGAATTACAATGCATGACAATAAAGTTCGGTGAATGGTGTTATAAGATGCCCACTCGAGGTAGTAGGCAAACGGCGAAGCGCATAAAAAGATGCTCCATAACATGTTTGAACATATCTGAGCTCGCCATAGGAATAAGCATTTGCAAATTCTGCTCTAGACACTGCAGAATTAATACTTATCCATGCATTACTGGAACAGATATCGCAGAATTCTTTGCTCTAGGATTAAATAGTGTAGCTGTGATAGTAAAATGGAGCAGCGAAGGAAATTTGAAGTTCGATTTCAAACTTCATATACCTGGGGGAGAAAATCGTAAATACTGAAATCAGTTTACAGATGAAAAGCGGTGTCTATAAAATACGTTTATAAACGGTTTGGATAAGATTGCACTGAAGTTGCTACTCGAAATGGTAGGCATACGATTTCTCGTAGTGATGAAAACATTGAAACAGTGATGAAGATTTAGCCGGAAAGAATAACAATGAATACTAACACGTAGAATGTTATAGAAAATTTGTTGCAAAAGATTAGTACTGAATGTCCAGCTAGGCGAGCTAGTCCAGAATTAGCTAGGCGGTCCCTTAATTCCCTCTTCAAGGTAATGCCTGCACATATTCGACCCTCGTTGTGAAATTGTGAAAGAGTTCATGGCCTGTAAAGGAATCATTGCAGTTATTTGATCTTGCTCCAACAGAATTCGCTATGTTCACTCACTTGAAAAATTCTTTTCTGGATAACGAGTTTTGGGTAATTAAAATATTTTAAACCATTTGCGAGGTTGTCCAATGCAATTAAAAGAATAATTTTAGCTTATTTTCATTGAAATGACGACCGCATATATATATCGAAAGCAGCGAACGCAGCAAAACGAATACTAACGTAGCGCCATCTTTCAAGAACAATAGTCATAACATGAGAGAAAACTAAGATTCTAAATTGATTGGAATTAAGGTCATTTAATAAAGAAGATAAAATTTTGTTAATGTCAAAGGAATTTTGTTCAAGTGAAGCAATTTTATAGACAATTTTCCCAGAACCAAAGTCAAATTTGGGATGAAAATTCCAGTTATGATTAACTACAGAAGATTTATTTATTTCGCCTTTTCGGATGTAAGATTCGTACTTCTTGATGCGAAATTTAAACCCTTTTCAGTCCGATATATAGCGGAACCTGGGATCCCGAAAGCCTCACATCACTAGCAATTAAGTCCAAATACAAATTATCCAAACAAGCCTCAAATGATGAACGTTGTCTCGATTTACAAACGCACGGCAACAAATGATTTTCAAAAGTGTTTTGAAGAGCTACAGAATTAACACTTGGGTTCTCTTGCAACAATATTTACATCTTAATATTTTCAATTAAACAACATTTTAATATTTTTCATTGGTTAATTCTTGTTAGCCAGGTTTGGCAACAAGTGACCTACAGGACTTTGAATTCAGCCTGGAATAATTAAGGCCTGTTTGTACTATAGCCAGAGACTTTGAAAGCTTTGACACAGGACAGCTTTTGATATTTCATTATGATATTGTATCTGTAGACTTGGAATTTTAAGTTAAAAACGAACAGGTAGAAAGCTTACCTAGAAAAAAATAAAAGTAAACTCAGCAAGAACGATTTGCAATAATTTCCGAAGTAGCATCAAAATACGACCATGAAAGAAAGAAAAAACGATAAGATGAGAGAGAAAGGAAAGAAGATGATGTGCAAAATTTTTGCAAAAAGGCAGAAAACAGCAAAGATTTACTTTACCCTACATCCTTAATAAAGCAATAACAAGCTACGGCACACGCGTTTTCAATGACAATGTTGTGTGTAAAATTAGAAAAAAAAAGTAATATATAGGCAACAACAAATCGCATCGATGTATGAAAATTTTAATAAACCAAGTTTCCCAGTGAGTTTCAAGCAGAGTCAGATGGCGCTAAAAGACAAAGAAAAGGTGAAAGAAGATACCAAAGACAGTTACCTAATATTTTTTTATGGGAAAAGAACTTGTAATCCAAACAATAATGTCTCTTCCCTTCCACATCACTTTTCACTCACTCTTTCACTCTCCTTCGCACAAGTATAATAAGATAAAATTAAGATTTTGTATGTCTAAACTATTTAATCTTGTGTTCATTTTGTTGTTTTAGACACAGTGGTTTGGATTATTATAAATTGTGCAAAACGTGCTGCTGTAAATAGGTTTATAAATAAGAACCCATTTATGGTCCATGACCGAATTAATCTCTTTTACATTAATAGCTGTGGGGAAACAGGTTTCGATTTAAGAACTTTCGAATGATGATCGGTCTTCAAGAATAAACTGAATTCGCAAACTGGGGTTTTACTATGTTTCAAACCACATTGAAAAGATATTTATTGCATTCTTCACTTCCGATGTGAACTGCTTTGAAGTTTTTTCAGGTTAACACTCGGATAGAATCTTAGTTTTAATAGTTTGTTGACTTTTGATGGATTTGTTTACCTTTTGTAAGCATTGATGGAAAAATACGACAAATGATTCCTTTTTGAATCATGGAGTTAAACGGAAAAAAGTCAGAGAAAGCATAATAACGATGGCGATGATAAAAATGATCGATGCACTAAGCAACTGAATAAAGATAGGCTGCTCTCAACCGCTGTTAAACATTCTGGCTTCTCATCATTGATTTTCTCAAACATTTTTGGAAAAGATTCTAATATCTGGAAAAACCCAATAGCATTCTTTGAGTACTTGCTTTCTCACAAGCATGACTAATGAGAATCAAAGGTTTATTCGGCATTTAAAATTAGTAATTAAAACAGAAATATTATATAAACGGAATTCCATATGTATTTGTATTGAATACAGCCTCTGAGGTGGACAAAATCATAATTAATTTGCTCTCTTCCGTTAATGCCTGACTCAGCCACAGGGCACCATCAATATTTTCGAAATACCTAATTGAATTTCTCTCCCCATGCTGCTGAATATTTACTTTGGGTCTCGATAATGTTTATTAAGTATAAACCTTTAACATAAATATAGGTTGTTCAATTTTGTATCGGAGTTTTGAAGATAATATTGAATTATATCGCACATGAAGTTATTTTCCTGATCTTAACTCTGAAACATGCTATGACCCATTTGTGTAGATAGCGTATTATACTGATTTTCCTTTGTCAGTTGTTTAATATTGTTAGAGGAAAACTGGGTCATAAAGACACCATATACGAGAATAAATAAGAAGTTCCTCCATTTCTTTGACTGAATTAGAGCGAAATCATGATTAGGGTTAATGTGTTATGCATGGGATGTTTGTACTCTAATCAAACTATTACTCATTTCTAGAAACTCCGTGACTCCATCTTAGCGTGTTATGAAGCAAAATAAGATTTAAATACAAAAATCAATTTAGTAACAAAACTAACAATGAAACTTAAATTGCTTAAAAACGCATAAAACGTATACAGCAACCTTACTTTAAAAAAATTAACTTAGAAAGTTTAATATATATACTATTAAAGACTAATATATTCAGAGTAAATCAGATGAAACCACAAATAAATGCATCGAATTTGAGTAAGGTTCGCACATTGAATACACTATATATTCAGTTCATTAACAATTGCTAGGAATTATCTAAATACAAACTATATAAACATTAATGTATAAAGTATATAGATTCTTGTATAATGCCCAGCTGGCTTCGATGTGTGATTAACAAGCACATATACCGTGTCCTGCATGAGTTGTATACACATGGAGTTAGATTAAACTCAGTTAATAAATATTGAATTAGGAAATAAACTAGTGGTGTTTAACACTTTCATTCGCTTGGCCACTGATAAATTTATCTCATCATCTTATCAAGTTGATTAAACTGTTTTCGATTAAAATATTTTTTTAATTTAACAAAGCTCGTTATTTGTCTTTCTTGTCTTAAATATTAATAAAAAATGTGAAAGATTCATTTACACACAAAGAACAAGGATATCGCTTCATCATGAAAATATATTATTTCAAATTTTGAAAAATGATTTTAGCTCTTGATTAATAGAGTCCTCTACTTTTTCTTCAATCGCATTTGCACTTATTTTAATCAAAATTTACAAGATAAAAGATTTAGGGTTTTGCCATGTTTAGATTTAGGGTTTTGCCATGGCATATACTTTTTTGTTTTATTAATGTTTGCAAATTGCAAAGAATATTTTGTTCCAAGGCAAATAGCCCTCAATTGTTTTGCCATAGTTAAATAGACCAAATTAAACTATCGTCAGCATCCCAAACTTAATCGTAAAACAAACATTATTTAGTGTTTCTTAATATTTCATGTTTGCAATTTTTTATTTAAATTTAAAATGTAAGAACATAATTTTATTCAATGATAACAGTGTCATTTTTCTGAAGAAAAAAAAAAGAAGCGCAATATCTGAATGATTTGCAGCAGTATCAGGCAATTTCAATTTCAGAGGTATCAGGCTTATAATAATATTTGGAATGCTCAATTTTTAATATCATATTTATATAAACATTTTAAAAGAACTTGATTTTTCTAAATTTATATATCATGCCTACTTACATATATATGGATCTAAAATTTAATGGACTTCTGATATTTACAATTATAACATACCGAATGTTTATGGCACATTAAAGCGTTGTATTAGAATTTGAATAATTAGATTACAAGCCTGCCTTTTACCTAATCGATTCACTTTAATGTCACATAAGATACTTTAATGAAGCCCTTAATTGTTGAAACCAAGTACTCGCTGTGTTGTTTCAGAACCTACTGCTTATAATTTAATTTGTAACCAAGTGAATTTAAATTCTTTTGCATGCAGTGTTTTGCTCGAGATGTATTTGATAAAATTGAATCTTGTATAATATAGGTGACTATAATAAAATGCTACATTATGAACAATTCTTTA